CTGCTAAAAGTGTAACACACATGCCTTCTAGTCCAGCTACAAGTGGAATCCTTGTTGCCAACTGAAACCTCCTGGTCCTGGCCTTTACTATCTGCATTCTTGTCATCATTCTGATCTTCTGAGCTCTAAGTAGAATCACCCGTCAAACTTAGAATCACCCATCAAGCTCTGTTTATAGCATTCTTGTGCTTCTTCATTTGTCAACCTTTCTAAACTCCACCAACAAACTAGATCCAGAGGCTTTTAAACCACATGGTACAATCACAGCAATGACCCCACTGTCAGTACCAGCTTCCTGTATTAGTTACTTTCTCATCACTAGGACAAAATATCTGACATCTGCAACTTACAGGAGGAGTCATTTTGACTTATGGTTTTAGAGTGTTCAGTCCATGGTTGGCTGGCTTCAAGGCAGAAGCAGTATAGTAAAAGGGCCTGAACCCATGGCATCCAAGAAGCAAGGGAGAAGGGAGGAGCTGGGGATAAGTATGTACCCTTCCTAGTCACATCCTCAGTGATCTGCCATCTCCAACCCATACTACCTATGAACATGAGACCTTGGGGGTTGTTTCTAGGTCTAAACCAGAATAAGTGTCAATATTGATAAGTATTTTCATGAGTCTGTATATTTTATAAATATAGTTAACATATTAATATTCCTTTGTTAGATAATTTTTAATATCTCATAGGGTTTGTGTGTGTGTGTGTGTGTGTGTCTGTCTGTCTGTCTGTCTGAGGATTGAATCCAGAGTCCTTCACAGTGATGTACATCCCTAGCCCTTCTTTGTTTTTATTTTTCAGACAACTTATCACTGAAAGTTACCCAGGTGAGGCTCAAACTTGTGATCTTTCTGCATCAGAGTATTAGGATTACAGGTGTGCACCACTACACCCAACTTGAAGTTTTTTTCATAGAATCATAAAACCTTGTTGAGTCTTGTTAGGGAATTGTTTTACCAAATTCTGTAACACTAGAAAGCATCAAGAAGTTTTGTAGTGGTGGTTTTTTGTTTTTTGGATTTTTTTTTTTTTTTTACTTTTTTGAGAGAGGGTCTCACCTTGCAGTTAATGTTGGTCTTAAACTCACTAAGTAGCCTCAATCTTATGGTAGTCCTGCCTCAGCCTCCCAAGTTCTGGGGTTACAGGTGTGAACGACCGCAACTGGCATCATTTTTATTTTGAAATAGGGTCTCACAAAGTCATTAAATGGCTCAACCTGGAATAAAACCTGTGATCCTCTTGCCTTAGCCTCCCAGAGTGCTAAGATAACAGACATGCACTACCTGGCCTGGGTATTATTTATTCTTGTTAGTAATAAATAGCATAGTTAGAAATGCATATTTCAAAACTAGTAAGCAGAAACTCCAGTGAAACGATCAGTTGAAAAAAATCTTTTCATGTAGTTATTAGGTCAGGAAGGAAGCCTATCCTTAAAAGGAGCTTGGTCCCATGCTTTGAGTGTGTCAGAAGTCTGATTTGTATATCCCCTTATATGTTAAGGCTAAGAAGTCAACATAGAAATTGGTCTCAAAATGGTAACATTTGGGATGGGAACTCCCCTAGCCCATTTATCGTAGAATTTCCATAGATAAAACCCCACCAAAGATGAATTCACTATCCACAATTTTAAAACAACAGTAAATAATCAAGGGGCTGGGGATTTAGCTCAGCGGCACAGCGCCTGCCTGGCAAGCAGAAGGTCGTGAGTTTGGTTCCTGGTACCGGAAAACAAACAAACAAACAAACAAAAAAGAGACTCCAGAGTTAACATATGGCTGGGCATGGTGGCACATGCTTATAATGCCAGCACTTGGGCAGCTGAGGCAGAAGGATCACCACAAATTTGAGGCCAGCCTAGACTACATAGTGAATGCAAGGCCAGCCTAATCTACATAGCCAAGTCCTACTCAAAAATAAATAAATAAAATTAATATGTGAAAATGATTAAAGGGATATGTAAAGGGACCAAATCTCTGAAGATAACAAGACAGCACACTCACAAAGGAAGGAGAATTTTTAGAAATGAAAGACGTGGTCCTTGAAAAAGGAATTTCAGATCAGATCCAGTGGCACATGCCTATCATCCCAGCTACTCGAGAGGCAGAAGGATAGTTTGAGCCAAGAGATCAAGGCCAGCCTCGAAAACATAGTAAGACCCTGTCTCTTGAAAAATAAAAGGAAAGATAAGAAAATTTCTGCCAGGCATGGTGGCACATGCCTGTAATCCCAGCATTTGGGAGGCTGAGGCAGGAGGATTGTTATGAGTTTGAGACCAGCCTGGGCTACAAAGTAAGCTCAAGGCCAGCCTGAACTGCATAGTAAGACCCTGTCTCTAAAAAAAAAAAAGAGAAAGAGAAAAAAAGATAAGAAAATTTCATCATCAGTTTAATCTCCATAGATTGCTAGCAGATTTGATACCACTAAACAAAGAATTAGCAAAGTGTATGATAAATCTAAGCAAAATACCCTAAATGGACTGTATAGAGCTAAAATCTAAATTATGAGAGGATAATTTAGTTGAGAGGGTAGGAGAGTGAAAGACAATATTACAACATTCATTTAATAGGTATTCGTGAAGTAGAAGGTACAAATGGGAGAGAGACAGTATTTAGAGGGACAGTCGCTGATAGTTCATTTTAAACAGTCTTGAGAAAAACAAGAATCTTCATATGTTAGAAACGTAAACCAAAAATATTTTACCTGATTCTAGGATATACACAGATGTCTTAAGATACTAGTAAATGCCACTGTGGAATGTAAATTACTCCCCCAGACTTAGGTGACCTCTTCTGCCTCTCAATGATAGTATAATGAAAGCAACTAAAAATGAACACATACAACTCTGATACATTCTAGTCTTATGTCTCACAGATGAAGAAACTGAGTCTTTGCAAAATCACGCATTAATAATGAATGTAACAGAGATTTAAGATCAGGTAATCTTACTCCAAACCCCAGATTTTTATAACTTTATCAAACTGCCTCTCAAAACTAAATCTGTTTATCAGATAAGTGACTTTCCTTAGTTAGGGCCATTTAGTTACCTCTAGATAGTTATTGCATCATGGTGAGATTGTAGATAGTTTTGAATGTAATGTATGAACAGTGGAACAGATCTGATATATTACCAACAGTGTTGTAAATAGGTACAGCCTCTTTTGGAAAGCATTTTGGCAGCAGATTTCAAGAGCCGTAAAATGCTCATATTTTTTGACCTAGTTAATGCTACTTCTGGGAATCCTCTAAAGAAATAGTCCAATATGGAAAAAACCTCAGCACTAAAGTGATGAGCACAGTAGTGCTATTGTACAGCAATGGAGGCAACCTGAATGTTCAACAATAAGGCAATGACTGAATAAAAAAACAGTGGACTGTTAATTTAGCTAAAAATATGATATGTGATGTAACATAGGTGAGAAAAACACTGTCATGAGTTTTAAAAGCAGCATACAAAATTATATGTATATAAAATTAATCTATTACAAAAATGAAATATAAAAATAAGTGGGCTGCTATGATTATAACTTCACTATTTCCACTAGTTTTTAAGCTTTTCATAATGTAGACTTATTTCTAGTTTTAAAATTAAAGTCACGTGATAAGATTTTGTACGTTAGCCTTACAGCACTCACTAGATGTTAGGCTGCCTGTTGAGAGGAGGCAGCGAATTAGACTTAGCACGCTATTGGAGGCGACCAGGCAATCTCTTGGTACCTCTTTTACAGGTTGCGTGAACCAGGTAGTCACTATACCTGTGTGCCTTTCCAGACCATGAGTTACAGATTTTGGCTTGGTAAAATAATAATTCTCCTACATTAACTTTGAAGAAAGAAGCTTGCAAAGCCCCCGTAGATTCTTGGCTCTTGACCTTATCATTTTTAGAACATGCAGTTTAAAAGAAATTATCAGTTTTTGTAATGTCCTCTAGAGAAGAGTAGAAAATCCATCCCATGCACAGAAAGAACCAACAGAGCAACAAATGTCTGAAGACTTGGCCAAGCAATGGAGTTAGATGATATTGCAGCAATACTCTGTCTTGTCCTGTCCTACTTATAGCAAAAAGAAACAGTGGACCTGTTGAGGGACTAAGAACACTGATCATTCCATTTTCTGGGCTTTGTAGTTTAAGGGAGTTGTCTACGGAATGACTTACAAGTATGTGTGGTAGGGGGTGTCTTAGCCTTTTTTTCCAGAGTAGCAGTAGAATTACTAAAGATGACAGGGTGCCTCACATATGGAAAATTTTCAGTGTGGCATCTCTGTCATCCCCGATACATTGAGGAGGACATGAGAAATGTTGCAGGTCAGTGTATTGTTTTGCCTCAACATTCCCCTTTTGTACCCCCTTGGAGATTGTGCCTTTGGACTTCTAAGACCTACTAGCACAAACAGGAGACTCCCGATCGGTTGGCAACAAGACATGCTACCGTCATGCTTAGTATGTGCACATCAGGGAACTCACTCATCCCTTTGAGCCATTTCACTGACAAGGCTGAGCCATAAACCTTTACTTGTGCTATTGGTTAACCTTTTCAAGCATTTCCTCTGTGCAGAAAGTCAAAAGAGTCACAGTCTCTTTTGACTTATTTACAAAAGAGAGAAACCAAACCTAGGACACAATTTGAGGATTCCGCTTAGAGCTTCATTGACTGCCATAGATTCAGGCAGTGCAAGTATTTACATGCTGCTGGGATAGTAGGAGTTTGGAACTGTCTTGTAAAAGCAGAGTAGATAGCCAAAGCCTTGAAGCTTTCTATTTTGAACAACTGTGGCCCCTCTAAAATTAACATATAACTTGGTGTCCTACAGAAAGCCAGGTGTGCTGAGACTTCTGAATATTTTGCACTAAGGGAAGTAGCACCCAAGGGAGTTGCATAGGAAGTTAGCTGGACTTACACGCTATTTTTGGGAGAAAAGATCATCAGTTTTACATAGTTTGCTTTACTTCTTGAGCATTTTCTGTAATTGATTACTGATAAAGGTGATTTAATTTTTTTCAGTATTGCCTATCAGGGCACCCAACCTTACCATGCAACATCCTCAAGTTCAAATCAACCACCATTATGCTGGATTGTGGGCTGGACATGACTTCTACCCTCAACTTCCTCCCTTTGCCACTTGTCCAAAGGTAAGTGTTGATGCCTCCTGAGGAGTGAGATTTAGTTTGCTGAGAATGGTGCCATTAACACAAAAGTTACAGTCCTTGTATGTTGTCCCATAAGTTTGCTTTGTCCCCTTAAAAACGTTCTTTATCAAAATAATTTTCTTTAGCTGTGTTGGTAGAAAGTATTCTATTGATTTATTGATTGACTTCTTTATTCTAACTTCTGAGCTTCTGTAAAATGTTCCTGCAACTACTTAGTGCAGCTGAGGTCATGTATATTTCATGTGTCTCGGTAGTTCATAAGAACTAATAAATGGCCAGCTGATGAGCTCAAGAGTAGAATTTTAGGATCACTTAACTGTCTTTGCAAGGACTTGCCATCATAGTCTGACATTTCTTTTCAATAGGTATCTGGCGTTATTTTCATATTTGTCAACCTTAGAGCTCATAGAACCATACATGTAGCCCAAGTTCATCTGTTAAAGTCTAGATAGATTGCCTTGGGCCTACAGTTAGCACTGTTGATGCTTAACTAAGATTTTGTTGTAGGAAATCGATTTCCCAGCTCGGTCCTGCTTAGAAGCAGGAGTTTATAAGAAAAGGGGCTAAGTTTTAGAAATAAGTGTACTCACAGGAGCAAAAACCACATAAAGTGAGGAAATGGAAGGAAGAACTATCTAAAGCAGATTGAAGAGCTTAAAAGCCTAGCAAGCTGAGTAAACCAGTCATTCCTGAAGACATCTGAGTGCAGTGATTATTCACAGTGATAACCCCGTGAACCATCCAGAAAAAATTATAATCAATCATTGATTTTTCTGTGCTACAGGATACAATAAAGTGGTGCGGTGATAAGGTCAGAGATAATTCCAGATTACATTTTATGCAGAGCTGATGGCATTCAGTTATGATCACACCCAGCACTTAGAAATACATTTACCATCCACAGGTATTAGTCAACAGGGGGAAAAAGGGTGGTATTTAACATGACTGACAGATTATTACTTATTAAAATAGCCTGATATTATTTTCTATTTCCCCACAAAGAGCAAATTACTTATTCATTTGGTGTTTATTAATAATCTACCCTGTGCTGGACAAGAGATACTAGTATTAATAAAACTGCTTTCTTGCCTTCATAAAACTTGTCTTTCAAGGGGAGAAAGACAATATACAGCTGAAGAATTAACTGTGCTTGCGATAATTACTTCAAAAAATAAGATAGAGGATAGTATGTGCATTTCCAGAGAGGACCAGTCTGCTCTGTGGGGTCATGAATTTCCTGGGTGATCAGAAAGTGGAATTGGGGGCTAGAGATGTGGCTCAGTGATAGAGCGCTTACCTAGCATGTATCAGGCCCCGGGTTCTGTCCCTGACACTGCAAGGAAAGAAGAGAAAAGTGGAATTGATCAGACAATCCCTGCTGCATGTTTTCCTCTTACTGTTCATTCTTTTCATTCTTTTGTCCTCACAACCCTGCCTCAGCAGTGGATCTACTTCTGCTGTCTCCTCTCTTGCAGTTCTTTGACTCTCAGAGAGAAGTTAACTAGTGCCATGGTTGACAATTCATGTAGTTCCTTAAAAAATGTCTTCCTGAGCTCAGGCCAGAAACCGTGGAGATGTTCTTGTTCCAGTTAGTTTCATCTGTCCCTCCTCATTCCCTCCTCCTGCTTTAGTTGTCTCCATTGCACTTGTTACTACACTCTATGTACATATTTAATCTATTGTCTTTCTTTTCCACAAAAGTTATTTCCTAAGGGTGGGGATTTTGTTTGTCCTCCACTGTATTCCCAGAACCTAAGACAGTTCTTGCCATATAGTAAATGTTTGCTGTGTGAATGAATGGTTTTATCCTCTCTAGATCCCATCTGTCCTCTCATTGTTAAAATTCATCAATTTATTATTCAATTATTTATCTTCCTTTTTCATCGTGACAGTCTTTTCCATTTAAGTATGGTCAGTCACACCTAACCTAATTTTTTTATTTTTGTGGTACTAGGGATTGAACACAGGGCCTTCTCATCTAGGTACATTACCAGCCTTTTTTTTGTTTTTGTTGTTTTTCATGTTGAGACAGGATTTCACTAAGTTACCTGAATTTCCCAGGGTAACCTTAAATTTGTAATCTTCCTGCCTCAGCCTCCAAGAGTACTGGATTACAGGTGTGCCCCACATAGCCTGGCTTGACTTAAAATTTAAGGCAAAATTTTTACCTTTTCAACTCCACTTTCCTCTTCAACAGTCTTTACTCTGCCCACACCACTGCACAACAGCCTTCACTAAAGGCACAAATTGGACATCCAGCAGCACTGGCCTCCACATTAATGCATCCCTGCTGCCTTTTACTTTTCTGACTTCCTTTTCTGTGTTTTGGAGACTCCTCTTCCTCGTAACTGGCCATCATGTACTATACTGGGATTCTTCAGTGTTTAGTGCTTGGTTGTCATAAACTCTACCAAGGAAACTGAACAAGTCCTCAGGGCTTCAGTGACCCTTCCAAACAATAACTTAGCAGTGTGTGTCTTTAGATAACCTCTTCTCACTCCAGATTCATGTGCTCTGATAAGTTTCTCTCCTTGGATATGCCTTTGTTTGATAGCACCTCAAAAGTCAACATGTCCTCAAGTAAATTCATGATCAGACTCGTTCTAGAAAAGAACATACTCTCTTAGACTTGGTTTTCCCCAAGTGCCCTATCTTAGTGAGTGGTATTCTGTTATAAAAGCCAAAACACCAGAAGTTAACATGGATACACCTCTCTTTGTCACTCTCCATCTCCAATCTCTCATTAAGTTTTGTCATTTTTACCTCCTGTATAGTTGAAGAACCCAGACACATCTCTTCAGTGTTCCTGCAGTCATGATTGCCTTTTGTAGAGGCTGCGGAAGCCTCCTAAGCAGACTTTTCTAGTTTGACCGTGCCTGTCTTGAGCCAGAGTCATCTTTTGGTATAACTTTTTATTTGGAGATCTTACAGATTTTCAGGAAATTGGTGAAAATAGCACAAACAACTCCTAATTGCTCTTACCAATTGCTAGCATTTTAACACATTTGTATTATGATTTTATATGTATGCATATTATTTTTTCTGACCCATTTAGGAGTAAGATGCAGACATGATGATCCTTGAACCTTAACTTACTATTTGAGTACATATTTCCTAGGAGCAAGGATGTTCTCTTACCTGTGATACGATGAACAAAATCCAGAAATTTAATTGTTGTATGCCAGTATTGTATGATTTATTCATATTTCCAACTGGAAATATGACTATGAAGAAAAAAGAAGAAAAAAATTTCTGGCCCAGGATCACATTTTAGATCACACACTGCATTTAGTTATCATGTTTTGGGGCTCCCTTGATTTGGAAGAGTTTCTCAGCCTTTTTTTTAAGGCCTTGACATTTTTAGGAGTACAAGCCAATTATTTTACATAATATTGTTTAATTGGAATGTGTCTGTTTCTTCATGAGTGGATTGAGATTATTATTTTTAGTAGAAATCTAATCTTACCTCTCATTTAAAATCTCTCTGGTTTTTCATTGCTCTTAGGAGACACCAAACTCACCTTGATATATTAGGGTGATGCCTGCCACTCTGGTGTCATCTTTTTGTTCTACCTCTTGCTCTTTGTTTCCTGCCTCAGAGCCCACACACACGTTGTTCCAGCAGGCTGGAAGGCTCTTCTCTTCCTTTTTCATCCTGCCTTCCTCAGCCTGCTTAGCAGGAGCTCGTCTCTTAGAGCTTTTAAGATAGCAATTCCTGTTAACAGAAGGGTGTGGAAGAGGTGCCACTCTAGTTGGATGAGGGATTGGAGGAGAGTGTATAGGACTCTCCTTGAAGTTTTATTTGAACAACCTTTACTAATAGCTGGCCCTGCCTAAGACCGATGAAAATGACAGGAGGAAATCACTGGACCTGGCAGTATCTTCTTTCTCTTTGTTCTTCATACCTTGCCCCTTTGAGCAAGTTTCCTCTGGGTTTTGTGGGTTTTTTTGTTTTGTTTTTTTCCGGTACCGAGAATTAAACTCACGACCTCGCACTTGCCAGGCAGGCGCTGTGCCGCTGAGCTAAATCCCCAGCCCCTGAGCAAGTTTCCTCTGGACTCTGCTGTGTCCAGCTCTCAGCTCAGTTGTATCCTCAGAAGGGTTTTTTTCTTTTCTCCCAGTACTGGGGCTTGAACTCAGGGCCTTGCGCAGCCTTGGCAGGAGCGCTACCTCTGAGTTATATTCCCCAGACATCGCCAAGGAAGTCTTCAATGCTGTCTAGGTTGGTCCCTCCTTACCTTCTGTGGTACAGTACTTACACCAAGTAATGAGGCTCTCTGATGTCCTCCTCAGGAGGACAGGTACATTTTGCTCACCAGTGCAGCACCAGCAGTTAGCCAAGTGCTGGACACAGTAAAGATTCCTAAGTGAGTAATATTTAACATCTCTTTACCTGTTTAACACTATACCAAGTAATGAGGCTCTCTGATGTGTTCTTTTTTGGGAAAGACCTTCTTCATGTTCACCTCTTGACTCCTATTCACTGCTCTACTGCCGCACTGGAAACTATCAGAAATGCCTCTTATTTTATTCTATTGTAGTTGCTGTGTACTCTCTCCTTATATTAGGTTACAACTCCTAAAACACAGATGGTTCTTTTACTGTCACCTCAGCACTTTGCTCATAGTAACTAACTTTGGTAAATATTTTTTAAATGAGTGAACAAGTATAGTGGAAAGCATAAAGACCCAGGCATGGTGACACATACCTAGAATTCTGGCACTACGGCAAGCTGAGGCAGGAGGATCATGGGCTTGAGCCCAGCCTGGGCAACTTAGTGACTTAGTGAGACTGTCCCAAATGAGAAACAAAAAAAGGATGTAGCTCACCACTCCCTGTGGTCAATCCCCAGCCCTTTAAAAGTTTGAGGAAAAGAGAAATTGCACTGGAAGTCATAGATTGGAATTAATTCACTAGAATTCCAGTAACTTTTCATGGGATTACAAATGTAAACTTCCTGGGCTATGACAAGAACTGGGAAGGGCTCTGTATAGAGTTATTTTCTGGTAACCAACATACTGTTTCTAATCATTTGTTGAAGACATCTAATGCGTCAGTCAACCAGTTCGTATATCCTAGTGGGGAAGAGACAGTGCACGTCCTCAGTCCAGTGCTCTTTGTGAAGGGAGTAGATATTTACAGCCTTGTTTTAGAGAGTTAGCATGCATGAAATGAGAATGGCGTCCACATCGTCGTCATTACGTTGTTATTAGAGTGCCTGCTTTTAAAATTTGATCTGATAATAAATACGTTTTTTAAGAAGTAAGACATTTGCAAGTAAAGGCATCTGTGACTATGAAACAAGATGGGAATTAATGGAATATTTTGATGAGAGGTTAGAGCAGAGAACTCTTGAGTTTAAAAAAAAGGAAGTTTATCAGGTATAATTTTTACCAACCAATTTTGATTCTTACAGTAGTGCTTTTCATTCTCAAGTATGAAATTCAAAATTCTCATCTTTGGATTGATAAAGCAAAACACAAACATTAAATTTAGTTAAAGAACATGTAGGCATTCATTGTATTCTTCGCTTATTGGCCCTTTTTTCATTTACCAATATATTGTTCTTTCTTCTAAATTATTGGCATTTTCAGCTTCCAGTATGTTTCTTCTCATCACAAATAGTACACAGTTAAGTCCCAAGATCATTACAAATAAATGATTTTTTAATGCAAGGTTTTAATTTCACCTTCTAGAAACTATTCACCTGGAGAGACTGTCATTTTGTAGCACTTGTGAAAACTAGCTTCATTTCCCATAATTGGAAACTCAAGCCTCCGGTGACGCATGAGTGATGCACTTGTCAGTGTTGACTCCGGAATGTGGTTTGAGGAGAACTCAGGTGTCCATATTCAGCGGTAAAGTGCTCTTATCCCAGCACCGAACCGAGTCTGCCTCCTTGCGTGCACAGTGGTGCCACCCGTTCTGCCTTCCGCTCAGCCGTGTTGTCAAACACAGATAAAGCTGGGGCAGTGATTGGAAGACACTAAAACACCTAATGTCTTGTTTATCTTTTTTCTTTCTTATTCCACATAAGCATTCTTCTCATTTTATTAATTTTGTGCTAAACTATTTGACCTTCAAATATTCTGTAGCCACATAATTGATAAGTTCAATACATGGTTATTTTTCTTTTCTTTTCTTTTCTTTTTTTTTTAATTTTTTTTTTTTTGGTGGTTATTTTGGGTAAGCATCACTGCCAGTAATTTCAAACTGTTTTCAACTTTATGGAGACAGTACAGTCACCATGAAATCACTGAGGATTATAATCTATTTAGGATAATTTAATTTTTGTTTTGCAGTCCCAGGCTGTGTAATCTTCCTGGCTGGTCCCTGAAGGATGGAAATGCTTTCTTAGACAAGGTAATGTCCAAGATGAAAAACTGAAGCCTGTCTACACCCAGTGGAAGCCATTTTGTCCTACCAGAGCCACCCTGTAGTAATGTGACTCATGAGCTCATGGTTTGGTTTTTTTTTTAATGTATATTCTCCTGGTTGGTAGGGGAATAGCAACACTCATGCTAGGGTGTTCAGTCCTTGATAATTATTGTTCTTGAGCACCTTTTTAGGGAATCTCAATGTTCGGTTTCAGATCAAATTTGTGCCTGTGAGAAATCTAAATGCTTCTGCTGCAAATACTTTTTATTGTAAAAGAAAGCAGTACTTTCTAGAATTGTAGTTAGTTTCAAAGGTGATACTTTTTTTTTTGATACTTTTTAAAGAGCTCAGTCAACTTACTGAGACCAAAGCTGCAATAATATCAAAATGGTAATCCATTCAGTCTTTTTAATAAAAAGATCAGAGGTAAGGGAAGGTTAAATACTGTAAAGCTTCTGCATGCCACTTCTTGGCCCTCTAAATCATTCTTCCTCTCCTAATTTCACAATTGGAAAACTGAATGAGTTTAAAGATTCTTAACATGATTCATCTGAATAATACATTTCCTTCTTGTAAGAGATATTGTTAAATAAAGAGGTGCTTTTTTCAGAATTAATTCCTGTAACTGCACCCCAACATCAAGTATAAGCCAAATGCATAATTTGAAACCAGATTGCTCTCATAGCTAACTGTAAAATTATGTGACATTCAGGAAACTGCACCTGATTTCATCCTGTGTCTCTTGCTGGCTATAAATCATTGTTCCCTGAGAAAGACGCTGAAGCATCCCATTACCAGTGCATTGTGAGGGAAATGACTTGCATGTGTATGTGGGAGTGGTGAATAAAATACAGTGACATTGTGAGTGTTTGGAATGGCAAATATGCTTCTGCAGGCCAGGAAGGATGAGTGCCTCAGAGGAGACTTTATCATGTCATGCCCTGATCCATAGCAATATGGAGAAAGATTACATAGCCAATCTGAAACCAGGCAAAGCTTTGAAATTTCCCATGATTTGTCTTTAATCATTTTTTAACCTTATCCTAAGGGAGTTGGGAGTTTTTTTCCCGTTAAACATAATTGCTCATTTGTTTTTAGCTGCCAAGTACTGGACATTGTAATTAAGAACTGTTTTTAGCAGGCATAGTGGTGCACACCTATAGTCCCAGTACTTAACTCAAGAGGCTGAGGCAGAAAGATCACCATGAGTTTGAGGCCAACCTGGGCTACATAGTGAATTCAAGGTCAGCCTGGAGTATATAGTGAAACACTGTCTGGGGATACAAAAGAAAAGAAAGAAAACATAGACACGATTTTCAGTATCTTTTTGGCTTAGCCTTCTCCTTAGTTAAACAGTACTCAGATAAAGGGAGGAATGCAGGTGTACAGTATACAAGGGACAGAAGTATCCTATCAAAGCTCTCATCTGGGACTTGTAAAATTTAAAAAGACAATAATGTGCCCAATGCCCTATTTTCATATACAGGCTGAGAGGAAAATAATCATTCAGACTGTATAAATTTAGATACATGTATATGGGAATATATGGAAATATATATTAAGTGAATAATCAAAATATGATAGAAGAAAATTATAACAGTATTTTCCCCTTCTGGAAAGAGCCAAGGATATTGTCAATCAGATTCTGACTGATTTTGCTATAAAGTCATAGATAGCTTTAACATGGACAATAGAAAAGACTAGACTTGTTTCATGGCCTTCCTGAGGCATTGTAGCAGACCCTGTTGGTGGCCACCCATATCTCAGGCCTTTTCATTTTGGTGTACTCTGGTGTAGTTTCAGCTGCCAGTGTCTGTGTGGCTTTGCCTGAGAGTTTGTTCTGACACTGCACATTTTGCCAGGGTTGGTAAGTAACTATTCGAGTCATCTTTCAATAGGGAAACTCTGAGGTGTACATTCTATACCATTCTCAGAGTTTCCCATGAGGGTAAAATCCAGTTGCCCAAAATGAAGTATGGTGTAGTGACATCCATTATTCCCACCTTCTTTTCTGTGTATCCCTTCCTCATTTGCATAGGAAACACTAGAGAAACAGTACCTCCCATATGAACTTGCTCTCAAACGTTTTTGTCAGAGTCAGCCTTGGGGAGAATCCTGACTAAGGTCCATTTAATATGATAAGTCATGGGCTACATGGGAAGTTATACTATAGTCTGTTTGTTTACATATATGCTTTTTTTTCTTTTGAATAAGTATATTTGGTTTATAATTACAAATAAAGTATGTTCTGTAAGGACAAGCATTCATTCATGATGGTAGCGGCTATTTAATCCAAACTTCCTACTCTTTTTTTTTTAATTTTAAAGAGAAAAAAACAATTGCAAAACAATAGGAGGGTAACAATGGTTAATACACTGCATATTGTTATCTTTAAATTAGTTATTTATATTACAAGAGATAGGCATTTAATTGTCCAAAGAATATTAGCAAAAACCTTTCTTTTCAATGAACTAAGAGAAATTAGTAGTATAGCTATCTTAACTACTTTCTCCTTCCTTCTTTTCTCCTTTCCCCCTTCCCAGTTTCTCTTTTAAACATTTTCTTTCCATTTTACATCTTTTGTACATTTTGGATTTTATTTAATCTTTCAGCTTCTCACACTCATGCCCCTACTCTTGAGCCTCCCTCCTTACTTCACTTCCCTCTCCCCTTAGCAGGCAGAAAAAAAAGCTTTTGAGTAATTTGTGTAGGGCTGTGACTCCCAACCTCATTGCATAGCAGAATCACTGTAGGTGCTTGACATAAACAGAGACTGCATTCCCTCATCCCTAGTTTGATTGCCTAGATATTAGATAGGGCCCAGCAAGCTTTGATTTAATCACTGTCCCCAGATAATTCTGATATTGCTGCTCTGGCCTTCATAATCATTACTTGGAAACCATTGGATCATGGATTATAGAAGCAGCATGTGTCCTTCCTTAAAAAGGCATCAAGAAATATGCATTTGAATCCTGAGTCTGCCAACAAGCAGCATTTTTACCTCAATAAGACACTCAGCCTCCCTGAGCCCAATAACCTACCACCTCTGAGGTACGGTTTACAGGTTTTACTTCTTTGTTCTTGTAACTATTGGATATCTCTTACTAATGTGATCTTCCTTTGTGTCTTGTAGGAGTTAAAGGAATGCTCAGGTCATGTGTTCGTGGATTCTGTGCCTGAATTTTGTTTACCAGAGGTAAGGTGAAAGTGAATCTTACTGTAGAAACTATGCATATTGTGTAATCTCTCACAGTGAAGTCAAGAAATGATTTTAAGGGGCTTAGCTTCCTATTTTCAAATTGAAATGAATTTGTTATTCCTGGCACAATTGTTTCACAGCTGAAACATCATTTAGGAGCTTTTTATATCGTCTGTAAATCGTTTAAGTCATTCTGTTCTTATTTCTAGCTCTTTCTGTAATCCCCAGTAATGTTTTTCGGACATAGTTTTGAGCAAGGTAAGGAAATAACTTAAGCCTTTTGGTTTTATAATTATAATACCTTTGTGCTTAGATTAGCCATACGTTTCCCACTCTTGCTTACAGTAGGTAATTGAAGATTGCTGTTATTCAACCAGTGCCTATAAACTGTAAAAATTCTTGCTGACTTAAAATATATTGAATATTGCTTGAAATTTGTGGTATCTGGGCTGAGTCATGGCTATCTGATGCTTACATATTGTTGCAGTGAGATTTTTATTGGGATTTTAGAATAGTTTCATCTCAGTTTCCATTAGTTTTAAAGGAAGGTAACCTCAGCTGACAGGCCTAATCCCCAGAGCAGCCTGCGTGGGGCTCTCAACAGACAGATGAATATAGGGGAGCCAGTGGCTTCTCTGGGGTTCTTAGGAAATCAATAAGAAGTTACCATGTTCCTCTTGCCACAAGTCCAGCAGATTCCAGTGCCTGGAGAAAGCAGTTTGCACCACAACTTCCCTTACTTTGATTCTCTCTTCCTTCCACTCTTCCCGTTTCTATACTTTGAAACTCTGTTGTTAAACTTTCTCTCTGTTTGAAGTATATGTATGTGCCCTTTGTGGGTGCCAGCACAGAAGAAAAACAGAGAAGGACATTGTAATTGAAGATGGCAGATAAGGGAGGGAATTGGAGATGTAGTGGTAAGGATGAAGGTGCAGGGAGAGAGTTGTGGAGAATCTTGACAATCTCCCCTGTTGCTGTCATCTACATTTGTCACTTAGGAACTGGTGGGACAGTTCTTGTCTGTGCAGAGATTGTTAATCCCACATGCCACATTTATTTCCAGGGCGCCAACTACAACCTTCAATTTATGGACAACAATGCGGGACACAAAGAGGTGCTCGGAGGACTTTCTGATTTGCCCCATGGAGCACTCAACATTTAAATTAGATGATTACCATGTCATGACTTACCTTTTGCTGAGCTAAAGTGGTATTGATATATAAAGTTCTAAAGCTATAGAAGGCTCTTCAAGCCAGAGTATATAGCACAAACGAGTAATAGTTATTATTTGAAGGTAGAGCCCGGCCATTGTAGGACAGGGAAAACATAGCAATGTAGTAGAAGCAGGAGAGAGATACTGACTACAGTCTGGTTTCCACTGGCTTATGGACAGGCTCAGCTGAACTAACCCCTGACCTTATGAAATTTATAATCTAGTCCAGCTATCTTAAATATCTTTGTATACTCTAAAGTCTACACTGTAAACTGCGTACATGGTCTCGCACAATCTAGGAAGTAATCAATAAATTCTGATTATTTAACTCATTAATTTTTATTGGATTCCACTGAGTGCAAGTAAATAAATATATAACTTGTGAATATATACAGGAACTCTTCTAGTAAAATCAGAGTGCTGCTGGTGGACCACCCTTGTTAATCCTGTGTTGCTACTTAATGTCCTTATTAGCAAAAGCCTCCAGTGAGAAAGTGGAAGGTTGGTGGGAAAGGCCTCATTACTCTGAAATGGTAAAAAACCATTTCTCTGCATTCTGACAGCATCATTTTCACTCACTTGGTGTTGATCTGTGTGCTCTACCCAGAGACGTCTCGTCCCCTCTTTCTTTGCAGACCGAGCTAATAGACCTGTCCACCGTGGATGTAATTCTCATCTCTAACTATCACTGCATGATGGCATTGCCCTACATCACCGAGCACACAGGATTCACAGGCACGGTGTATGCCACGGAGCCCACTGTCCAGATTGGCAGGTGAGAGTGTGATGCTTTGCCTACTGGGATGTGCCTGCAGCTCCTCCCTCAGTAGAGACTAGCTGGTTACTTCCTTCTGGGGCAGATAGCTGACTCTAGGTAAAGGGCTGTTCACTGGAAATGCCTGGATACTGATGCTGTGGGTGGTCTTGTTATTTTGTTGTAATGTAAACTGAAGGACATTCACAGAGACCGCTCCTTTGCAGATGGTACCAACTAGAGGAGGTAAAGTTTGGGAAGATGCTACAAAGATGCAAGGCAGAGAGCCTCAGAAGAAAACGTTTTATTACTTTGCTTTCAAGATATTCCTTTTTATGGTTTACCGCAAACTCTAGAGATAGTTTGTAGAAACTAGGCAGTAGATAAATAGGTGCTTAAGTTGTCCCTGCTGGTGACAGGGAAACATCATACTCAAAGGAGTAAGAACGTATAGTCTTTGACTCTGAAAAGATTCTACTGTCCCTTTCCCTGCCCCAGCCAGGCTTTGGTGACATAGATGAATGCTGAAAGTAACCACAGCATCATTTAGCGAGAAAAATAATTATGTGAAGGAAATTACCTTAGAAAAAATATCTCTTAAATTATTACTTTGAAATAAATCTACAAATATAATTTAAAATTGTCAGGACCTAAAATATAGGATCTAGACTCTGAGTTTGGATTCTGGCATTGTACAAGATGGAATGATTAGAATGAAACCATCTGTTTAGTGTGCGAAACCATTCTACCTGCGCTGTGTGCAGAAAGCCATAAGGGATCCGAGGAGGGGCCATTATAGAAAGTAAGATGCTCGGTGACAGATCACTTCCAGGGATGGAGAAGCTAAAATGATAGACTGTAGTCTGAAGAAGTGAGAGCGTGAGTGTGGATGCCCTCAGACTGTTCTTATGAAAGCTATAGCCAGAACAACGGTGAGCCTGGGTCCCAGCTCATGGGACCCTGGAACTGGTACTACTTCTCCAAGATCAGAGGAAGCGATGGCAGCATGGAGACACCTCTGCACCCAGCACTCCAGGAGGCTGAGGCAGGAGGATTATAAGCTGGAGCCCAGCCTGCGCAAGACTCTTTCAAAATAAAAATTAAAATGCTGGGGAAGCAGCTCAGTGCAGACTTCCTAAGTTAAACACTGCCCCCACCTGCCTGCCCACCAAAAAAGAGATGTTAGGATTAAGTAAAAATGAAAGTGAGATGAAGTTGTTCAGTCATTAGATGCTTGTGCATGTATAGCTTGGCATTATCTGTACATTAATATGAAGGGGATTTAAGTCAGTGTGAATCATCTACATTCAATTATGAGGAAGACATTGAAAACATATTGCTAGCTTTTTGGTCCGGGAGTTCTCACAGTTCTCTGTGCCATGAATGCTGAGTGTGTGCACCCTCAGCCCAGCCAAGAGCATTGTTTGTTAGGTGCCCTCAACCGCAGTTCTGTCCGTTTCATATTGTCATTTAAAAAAAAAAAATTGGCCCCACCCCTGCTACCGCCAGAATTGATACTTCACATTTAAAAACTTCTCCTTTAGTAACGTAAAGGCCAGAATCCTAGAATGACTTAAAATAGGCTTATATAGTTAGTGTTGAGAGACAAAAAACAAGCAAGGCTTGTAGGTTGAATTGTTTTGGTTTTAAGTGTTTAAGATAAGTTCACCAAGAAGGCTGGGTTTTTGTCTAGCTCAAAGTGAATGATGTCTGAGTGGAATGGGGGGTAGTGGGCAAGTCCGTTTCTCCTGGCAAGGTGTTTTTCTAATAATTTTTCACATCTGTTATTTAAACTCAGGCTTCTCATGGAAGAGCTGGTGAATTTCATTGAAAGAGTGCCAAAGGCTCAGTCTGCCTCCTTGTGGAAGAATAAGGACATACAGCGGTGAGGAACAGCCCTCTTCCTATTGACTGTAGAGCTGTTTGCTTTGTAAAACAGTCTCAACCGATTTCTTGTTTTATGCCTCATCACTGACCTTGTTCGCATTAAACAGTCTCCCCAGCATATGAAAGGATTATGTTTGGATCACCCAATACGGTTTTGTGCTAGGTAGAGGAGTTTTTCAGTAACCTTTGGCTCCATGTTTGAGGTACTCAGAATTGAGTAGAAAACCCAGTGATTCAATAGGTCAGTCACAGCCTTGCGTGGCCTTTCCTATGAATATTTGACCACTGTGCTGTTGGCAGTGAGAAAATGAAGAACTCTCGCTGCTTAAGGAAGCTGAGGGTGACAGCTCTTAGGTGACAATTAAGGTGGACCTGGAGCAAGTACAGGACTTTGCCAGGCAGAAATGATCAGGGAGAAGGGTCCACGCATGGTGTTATGGGACAGAGAATATTTGGTCCCATTGAGAAGTTCCGTGTGGGTTAGCACAGGCAGAGAAGAGGTGCAAGATGAAAGTTGAAGGGTAAATTGGAGTGAAATCATGTGGACTGTTACGTGAGACATGACTTTTACACCGAGAGTGCAGTCTGCCAGCAGAGGTCCATAAGGAGAGTAACATGATCACATTTGTTGTGGGGAAAGGAACTCTAGGAGCAGCTGGAGGATGGATAGGAATGCAGAGACGGGAGCAGGGAGACCAGCAGTGGGGCTGCTTGAGAAACCCAGGCCGATGGCCTGAGGCAGAAGGAGTGAGCATGAAGAGGACTGCTTCAGAGAAGAGAATTGTAGGAAGTGCTTAGAAAGATTGCAGAGAAGTAATCGTGGAGGTAAGAGGAGAGCTGAGCGTGGTATCCCACACTCAAAGGGAGTTTCTGAAATCATGAGCTTGCCAGTGGTCTGAGAGGTAACTTCATGTTCAGTGAAGATGGGGCCGGGGACATAGCTCAGTGTCACGGCGCCTGCCTGGCAAGAACAAGGTCCTGAGTTCAATTCCCAGTACCAAAAAAAAGTACAGTGTAGATGAGGCCCCAGCTATGGAAATTGGAAGACCTTGACAGTCCCCAGAGAGCTGAGCATGTAAGAAATGAAGTAGATATACCTTAGAGGGAGCAGGAGGCACCTTGACGCTTCATATTCTCTTATTTCAGCAGGAAACGGAGGACACAAGTCAGTCTTGGTTCATTTCCTCTAACTTCGACAACTACTGCCTTCACCTCCCTCCCTATACCACAACACACCAGGCTTTCCGGTCCTAGCATGGAGAGCCTGGTGTTAAAACCATCCCTTGACGTCCTAGGGAGTTCGCATTCCTACCCAAGTCCACTTTTTTCCAATTATCTTGCAACTGACTTCTCTTTCCCTCTAGATCAATGATAATGGTAGCCATCTGCAGATCTCAACTTTTAGACTGTCTTAGTTTTTGCCTATCTTGTTTCTACAAGAATGTGTTTATGTAGCTGGAGGAATATGCTTTGTTTCTCTGTCGTGCCTGTTGGAGCACCTGAGCCTGTGTATCCCCTCTGTGTTCCTTGGAATGCACATGACTTATTTTACTTTGCTTTTGTGGCACTGGATGTGTGTCAAACACTATTCTAAATATGTTACTTATGTAATCCTAAAACAACTCTGAGGTGAGTAGTGGTGTTCCTTCCATTTCACAGGAGAGAAAAATGGCACAGAGAGGTTTAGTAACTTGCCCAAGTCCCCCAGCAGGATCTGGCTTCAAACCCTGACACTTGCTTATGTGGCTGCAGAGTCCGTGCACCGCACCCTGTGCTGGGCCATCCTTTGTGCACACCTGTGCAGTAGCGTGTGATCCACTTCTCACGTGAGTGGGAGGGAAAGTGCGTTTTTGCACATTCTCCCATCTTTTATTTTACAGATCTTCTGGGTTTCCTTGTTTGGGGATTTTGTATACAGGGCCTTCACCTCATGAAATGGTTTTGCAAGATACGCTTAACAGAGTCCTGTATGCCTGCCTTGATCTGATTGCTCTCCCAGCGCAGTAGCCAGTCCGTCCCCTCTACTTGTGGCATTCTCACTCTCAGCTCTCTTCTCCTACACTTGCCATGCTGCCCTCCCTCTTTTCTCGCCCTCTTCCTCTCCCTGTCCCCTGCCCCTGGGCCATAGAAGATGCCAGTTCCTTGCATCTCCTTCCTTAGAAACTTTAGGACTTGTTTTCTTTCCTTCTTGCCCTGTAGAACACTTTTGCTGTGGCTTCCCTTACTTCCTCTTTTTAAATTTATACCCTAAATGTTTTGCCGCAAATAGTTTTGGCACACCAGAAATGGTACTCAGATGTCAGGATTTCCTGACTTCCCAAACCCTGGGCCAAGTCTTAGGAAGTCCCGAGTTCTTATTTGCCTCTTCTGTGACCTTGGACAAAGTCCTTGGCAGTTGTTCACTGCCTCGCATCTTTTGTACAATATACCAAAATAACTGACTCGCAAAAAAAGATGCCATCACATATACTGTAAGAGAAAATGTGCTTGGAACCTGAAGGAGGAGAGGATTAGCATGGGGCCTGAAAAGTATTTCATAAGATGCTTAGTAAACCTTTTTAAAAACATGGTCATTGAAAGGCTGAGGATATAGCTTAGCAGCACAAGCACCTGCCTGGAAAACACAAGGCCCTGAGTTCAATTCCTAGTACCTACCAAAAAATAAAAAGTAAAAATAAAAATAAAAACATGGTAATTGAACTAAAACCTTGAATTTCCATCTCACTACCTTCTTGGAAAAAATTAGAAACCAAGAGTTAACTTGGTAGAGAAACAAGGAAAATAACACACACCCCTGGCAAAGACTGGCTTTCTTTTTGACCCTGGTCAGGTATTTTATTTTGACCTTTGAGCGTGAGATGAGCCTTAGTTATTGAAAAGAGAAAGGGGATATTCTAATTATTGAAGAGAATATGTAATGTGTTGGACATACCGAGAAAGCTGTGTCCTTTTTGTCTCCTAGATAAACTCTGCATAAACACTAGAATTGGTACAAGAATTTGCAGAGCTATTTATTCATTAACTGACATCATATAAAAGGCTTCTTTTGAAATGTTTACCTAGAATTGGACAAGAGTTCTAAAAGTGCCTCATTTGGGCAACCTTGGTGCTGAAAGATGTGCATCGCCTTTAGGTTTCTGTCACCAGCCATTGCTGTCTCATTTCCCAAAGTACTGGAGTATACCCCACTGGGAAACAGATTTTTACTGTCTCGTTCGTTGAAATCTTCCCAAGTGAAATAGCCATATCTTATTTTTTCGTTCTTTTTTCTCCTTAATACCTGCACTTTCTCTGTCTAGTTCTACTTCAGAGGAACTCACCTTCTACAGATCATGACCACTGGAGAATGTTGAATACCAACTCTTCCTTTCTTTTCCCTAAAAAAGCTTGAAATCTGGATGTTTTACATGTGATTTTTTTCTAAATCTTTTTTTAAATGTTGGCTCAACTATTAAAATTGGGTATGATCCGAGCAAATCCTCAATGAGCTGGATTTGAGACTCAAGCCCCTGGTTTTACTTACACTTAAAACTTACACAAGCATTCTCAAAGTAGATCTTGGTCAAGTGCCTAGAATTAATGCGTCTTAGTACCCTGAGTTACTAGTAAGACCATCAACTAAAGAAAGCAATAAATTAAAAATTTTCAGACTCATTGTCAAAAGAATCTGACAAGTTCCCTTAAATCATTCGAAGTTAGTATAAATTAGCATTTGATTTATTGTTAGTCTGTATACTGAAAAAAACAATTCCTCTTACTTTTTGACAGTTGTATGACTCCCTGCCTTGGTTGACACTTCTCCTTGAGATTTATTTCACAGAAGTTAGCCATCCTTCTTCCTCATTTTGACACTGCAGTTTACACTCCTAGAAAAAGAGATGGATTTTGAAGGGAAGGAAAATCTTGCAATGTAATTTTTGAGTCTCTTGAGTTTCCCACACTCACTTCAAAGTTTTAAGTTTTTAATGAGGTTTTGGGGAAGGGTATTTAGGGTCTCATTGGGTAGTTTTAGATTTGCCTTGAACTCACTACATAACCCAGGCTGACCTTGATCTTGCAGTGATCCTCCTGCCTCAGCTTCCTAAGTACTGGTATTATAGGTGAGCGCCACCTTGCCCGGCTAATGAGGAATTTTAAAGCAAATATTTCACCTGGTAACCCAGCCCTCAAGTATTTTTTATATCAGGCTAGCATATTTTTATGAGTGGAATTCCAGAGTTTAAAATAAGGATACATCGTTACAATGTACTCAAAATCCTCTCCAAAGTTCTGAATTTAAAATGAAGGCTCATACCTTAAAGAAGACTAAGAAAATATGTGTTAAAGTTGGTGTTTCTCTGCTTTGACACTTTGTGGCTATTCATAGAAGAAGAAAATTTTAAAATATGAGCTTAGAATCCTGGCATGGTGACATCCCCCCCTAATCCCAACTCTGGGAAGCTCATGCAGGAGAATCACAAATTTAAGCCCATGTGAGCAACTTAGTAAATTAGTAAGACCTTGTCTCCAAATAAAAAGGGCTGGGTATAATGCTCAGTGCAAAAGCCCTAGGTTCAGTCTCTAGTACTGCCGAAAAAAAAAAAAGGTACAGACTTGGAAGTTGAATCGACTGGCTTTTAAATTTCAGATAAGTTTCTTAGTAACTATGGCAATTTATTTCTTGTAGGTTCTGTTTCTTCCTTTATAAAACAGTCCCTTCATAGGATTGTTGTGAGGACTAAGTGAATATGAGTGAAGTCTGTAAAAGTGACAGGCAGAGAGTAGATGCTCAATGAAAACTAGCATTCACCTCTTTAAAAGTAGAGTTGGCTTATAGGGCCTCCTTGTAGTGACCACGCACATGTACCTGCTGAGCCTAATTCATCTTCAGACCCCATCTCTCCTGATGAAAGCCAGGCAGTCAAAAGGAAGTTGTTTTCTTATCCACTGCTGCGCCCACTGTACTGTCATCCAGACCCGAAGACGCGGTCTCCTTTTCTGTAACATAAGAGAATTGAA